TCCTCCATCGTCCAGGCCGCTGCTTGTCGATTCCACATCAAAAGCCTCTTTTCATCAACGTGCAGACAAGAGAGACTGTCCGACTCAACGGGCATCATGTGAGGGAGCACTCTGCTTGCCTCGCCGCAAGCCGTCAAAGCTAGGCTACCAAACATCTTCATGGAAGCTGGCGGCCTCGGCCCGAGATTATGAGTAACAGCCTCACTCGCAAACAGTTGCGGCGGAATTGCAAACAGACGTCCGTAAATGGCAACAGGGCAAATGGGGTTTGTGTGTTTGGAGTAACAAGATAATGCAAGGCGGATAGAGAATTAGAGAATGGCAAATACTTGGCTTGCTGAGATGGAGCTAGTCTAAGGAGGGCAGAGAGGTCGAACCTCGGGAGCAAACCTTAACTCCAGCTTATCAAGGTTTATATATATAACGTGCCGGACCTGACTACAGGTGTTTGACAGGCGTAACCCGCGATGCGATCTGCAAAGCAGGGCGGAGATCAGGATTCAAGTATCCGGTGCACGTGGGAGATATATAAAAACGTAGCACAGCATGGTGTATGAAACGAGAGGATTTGGAATAAGAGACAATGATGAGGCTGCAGGACAGCGAACTGACGTGATGGTGGACCGGGAAGATGCAGGGACGACGTGATGTCGATGATTAAGTTTAGACACAGGCGGCTGATCAATTTGAAATAGCAGATGAGTGAGGCCATGCAAACATTGATGTTTGAGCGCGCGGTTACTTGTAGTATATGGTGTGTTTAGTATAGGACAGGTATATGGTTGCTTCATAGGGCTATGATGCTCAGGGAGGAGTAAGATTATGTTTGCGACGGTGATGATGAAGGTAGTGTATCGATTGGCCGCGCCGAGGGCATGGAATACTCAAATATATATATATACACACACATAAAAAGCCGATCGGTTGGTTCCCCAGACCAGACACCAGAACAACTATTAAGGAGAAAAGGAAAAGATCTCACACGGGCAGGGAAAAAAAGACAGAAACCCCCCAAGTTTCCTTAGCGCCCATAACGTCGCGATCCGCGCGGACCCCAGACAACCAAGACACCGACTGACCCAAACGGACCTAAACGGATCGCAGGACCCCTGCTGGGAAACCTCGGTTGGCTAGATTGGTTTAGTTGGCCATCGGGCACTTCACCGCTTCACCGCTTCACCGCTTCACCGCTTCACCGCTTCACCGCTTCACCGCTTCACCGCTTCACCGCCACTCTCCTCCTTTCACGGTGCAGCTCTCCTCCTTCACGGTACAGCTCTCCTCCTTTCACCGTGCAGCTCTCCTGCATCTGGGGAGAAAGGAAACGACACCAACCTCCACATATTATCCCTTAGTCCTTATTCCACACGGTCCAAACGTCAATTAGCAGTTCATTAACAAGGACAGTACTAAACAGTACTACTACTAGCCAGTACTCCCTCCAGTACACATACAGCGCAACCTCAACTTGCCGCTATTACGACCCGTGGGTGGCTAAGTGCGTGCGAAACCTGGAGAGTGCGGAGAAAGGGAGAAAGGAGAAAGGGAGAAAGGGAGAAAAGGGAGAAAGGGAGAAAGGGAGAAAGGGAAAAGGGAGAAAGGGAGAAAGGGAGAAAGGGAGAAAGGGAGGAGAAAGGGAGAAAGGGAGAAAGGGAGAAAGGGAGAAAGGGAGAAAGGGAGAAAGGAGAAAGGGGAAAGGGAGAAAGGGAGAAAGGGAGAAAGGAGAAAGGGAGAAAGGGAGAAAGGGAGAAAGGGAGAAAGGGAGAAAGGGAGAAAGGGAGAAAGGGAGAAAGGGAGAAAGGAGAAAGGAGAAAGGGAGAAAGGGAGAAAGGGAGCAAGGGCGGCTTCGTTCGCCCTGGGTCTGTGAGGAGGCCGGTTGATGCGTTGGCAAGTGTCGATACATACACACACCACACAGACGACAACACCAAGGAAAGAACGACCTTGCCCTGCCAACTTTATCCCGAAAAACACAGCCAACCCCACGCAGTTGCCACGACTGACACGATTGTACACGTCTAAATGCCTGAATAAACGCCCTATGAGGCCCAATTAACGTCAATTCCACGTCAATTGACTCCGCCTGTGGGACTTCCCATTCCTGGATCCTGGATTTGTCCAGCCACCTTCCTGTTCGTCGTTCATGGATCACTACTGCATATCCTCAATTTGTTTCTCCACCTCCGCTGCACCTACCATAAAACCAGCGTAGCGTCACGTCCCAACGCGCGCATCCTGCAATGTCACCTCCTCAATCCACGGCCGACGCTGAGGATAAGAGTCCCCTTTCCTCGTCGCCGCCGATCTCCCTCTCCGACTTCTTTCTCTCATTCCATACTTCATGGCCTCCACGGAGGTAGATCAGAAGTTCCTGGGGCAATTCGCAAAGAACATCGCCTCAGACAACCCGCTCCTGTCGTCCATGCTGTTCAAGCTACTTGGCCTCTCCGTCGTCCTTGCCAAGCAGCTCGTTCGCGCGCGCAAATTGCGAAAGCTCGATCCAACCCGTGCGACAAAGAGCCTGGACCTGTACTTCCACATCATATGGCTCAGCCGTGAGGGCCTTCTCATCGTGGAGCAATATGTCCTCCACATGGTCTCGTCCTTTGAGGAACTCAAAGTCCTGACCTACAAACTACGCGCCTCCTTCTACCACATCTTTGTCCTCTTCCACAACCAACCGTCAATCAATTCAGCCGGGCCGCGGCAAATCACAACCCGCCAGGGCTACTCTCCCCACGACAGAAGCAGGACAAGGGCAAGGCACCAGCAATACCAGGCACATCACATACACCAACCATCCCATCACCCCCCGAATCTCGCTCGTCCTCAGTCCAGCCATCACACCCACTAGAAGGCGGACCTGTACAACATCCCGACGCCCAACGAGACGCGCGACAATCCGGCTCCGCAGCAGACTTCCTCCTCCAAAGCAGAGACTACATCCCCACCGCCATGGCCGCCTTCCAAGAAGCCAACGACCTCGCCGAGCGGCTCCTCTGGGGCTCCCACCCCCTCCGCCTCAGCGTCAAAACCGAATTCTCCGCCTTCCTCTACGACTGCGCCAAAGACGCCGACCGCTCCCGCCGCCTCGCCAAAAAACACAATCGCAGAAGTCTACAACGCAACCGAAGGCATGGACGACGAGATGTTCGAAGACGCCGCCGAACTCGTCGGCACCCTCGGCAAATTCATGAAGCGCGGCCTCGGCAGCGCAGGCGACAGCAGCTCGGGAAGCAAGAGCACACTCCGAGCTGGCGCTGGTGCCGCAGAACAGCGACAGGAACCCTCAAGACCCCTGAGAAGTACACCGCCCAGGGCCGAGAACCTGCGCAACGAAGCGCTGCGCGATGCCCGTGCGACGCCGCCCCGTGCGACGCCTCCGCGTGCGGTGCCGCCGAGGGGTCTGCTGACTCCGCCCGGGCACCCGAGGAGGGACGCGGAGGTGTCGCCGGCGGTGTCGGGGGTGGGGATGGATAATCCTATTTGATATGAAGATACGTTTTGATTCTGGGCGTTTACGGTACGGCAAAGCGACGTTTTTGTTCAATATCGGGGGGCTCTCTTATTACCAGTGGAGCCAGGGAGGGAGTGGGGGAGTGGGCGCATTTATGGCGGGAGCTGATCTGATTTGCTCGTGATCCATATGGCGTTGGGCTTTTGTATTGTTTAATGTATTAACATGAGATAGAGGGGGGTGGTTGCATTTGGTTGGAGATAGCATTCTGTATATATTTCGTCATCGGTTAGCGATGGTGATAATCTACTTTTTTCGAAATGGGATGGGAGGGGGATGCATCAGAGCGGTGGGAGGGAGCAAGCATGGACTGTGACGAGTGAGATAGTCACGGAATACAAATGCAAGCATGGACTGTGACGAGTGAGATAGTCACGGAATACAAATATTGATACTATCAAGCTCCAAGAACCTATTCCCCCTGGCTGCCAATGACAGACAATATTGCCCAAAGCGAATCCAATCTCTCGTCCTCCCAACAACCCCCATCCATCCGTACAACCCCCCCACATCTCACAAACACGACACCGGCCTTTCTTCCAAAATAACCCCTCACTCGCACTACCCCTGAAGTAAAAAAAAATCTCTCTCGATCTCAGCTCTCTCGCGTATCACGGATCATGTCTCACAACCGTTGATCGGTACTACAATGAGCAGTAGGGTTCATAGGATGCATACTGCGTGTATTGAGTGAGGTGTGAGACATCGTGGGGGCGGGCGGGAGATACCGTGGGTGGGGGGAGGGCTATTTATGTACGTTCGTTCGGTGAAGGTGGATGGGGCGCTTCCAGCAAGGATCCCTCTGCTATGGAAGGGAAGAGCCACACCGAGGATCTTTGGCCTGGAGAGCAAGACAAAGTCGAGAAGTTGTTGGCGTGAAGAAGATGACTGTGGTGCTGCTGATGTTGAAAGTGGCGGTGCGAGAGGCAGCGGTGGTGAGAAGAATCTGTGACGGCGGCATCGATATTAGCGGGAGGGGCAGGCGACGGTGACAGGATTTAGTTACGACGGCACCTATGTTTTCGGGAGAGGCAACAGTGACAGGAATCTATGACAACGGTGACGAGTCGTGGTTCATTGGAAGAGGATACCGTCTAGAAACGCCACTTCTGCCTGGAACTGCATTACGGCGTCCCTCTCTCATCCAATCCTCCTTAGACTTGTGATCCTGAATGAAGCCAGAAGCGATGAAGCCTACATCCCAGGCCGTGAAAGTTCGCATATAGATTGGAAGCTCTTCGCTGCATCGTCCACCTCTCTCCACGTAAGGGTTCACTTGCATGTGAACAATTGAGTTCTCTGTAGAAGGAGGCAAGATCTGGTAAAGTCGACAGATGATGTTTCATTTTATCCAACTGTATTCCTACTCGAGCAGCTATGTAATCCATCACCTAAATACATCCCAGCATCCCCGTCTTCCGAAGCCAACAAGCCTTCCATGATCGACATCTTCAGCTTCCAAGATTTATCGTGTTTAAACACATTGCGAGTAGTAAGGTGGGGAGACGGGAGAGCAATTGAGCCGGACTATTTTAAGTTCTCATCAGCAGATTTTCCATAAATCAACAAAACGAGACAGGAGAGAGGAACTTACAGCACAAGTAGTACACCCCGTATAATCCTGCCCACCACACTGCTGGAACTTCGCAACACTGCAGCTGCCACAACCACCACCCGGCGTCCTAGTCGCTGTCTGGATAACTGGCGGCCCAGTCGTCGTCGCGGATTCACCGCCAGCAGAGCACGCCGAGCCGGCAACATTGCTGATTCCCAGCGTAGACGGCGGGACCGGGGTTGACGTACGAGCTGATGGCTGCGGGGATGTTGATGAGGATTCCAGGATCAGAGGCCTTGTAGGCGCCGGGGAAGTTGGGTTGCGGGGGAGGTTATATCGTTAGTAAATGGGAGGTGAAGATGATAAAGAGGCTGGATGAGACATACAGCAGCTCATGTAAAGCTGGGCACCACCGGTGGATCCAGCAACGTGAAGGGCGATGACTTCGGCGCGAAGCAGGAAGTCTCCACTGCAATATCTGATGGAATCTTCACATTCATCCTTCCGCAGCAGTTGTTCAAGTCTCTGGTGCCCCACCAGTCGTCATCATTAGCATGAGAGTATCTAGCGATGGATACTCATCTATCATACCTTTGCCCACGAATCCGCGTGGACCTTGAACCACCCCGTCGATCTATCTGCTGTTGAGGCATCGGCAACTTTGGACATATACACGTTGACTGGTCCCCAGTGAGCACCTCCGATTGCTTCAGTACGATGATAGATCTCCATTTTGCTAGAAAACCAGACTTTAGTACTAACTCATGTTATCACAGAAATTGAGACCATACCTGGTGCATATCAACCGTCACGGTCTGGCCCGCTATGACAGAGCACTTGCCTGACACGCTACGGCCATTGCAGCGCATATCATTGCTCGTTACATCGGTGACTGTTTGTAGTGTTGTACCCGTCGTTGTGCTCCTTTGCGGAGTCGTTCTGCTTTTTGCTCCCGTTGCTGTGCATCTTAGCGGAATCGTTGCATTTCTTCGCGGAGTCGTTCTGCTTCTTGTTCCCTTGGTTGTGCTTCTTCGCGAAGTCGTTCTACTTCTTGTTCACGTCATTGCGCATCTGCTTTGCGTTGCTGCGCTGCTTGAAGCTGTTGCCGCAGAGCTTCAATTTTTGACGACATCTTCGAATGCTGAATTAAATGGCTGGCTTTCAACCGTCACTTTTAGTCATAGTGACGCCTAGAAGAATATCACTCTAGTTGTCACAGCAATGTACCGAAAGCAAAATGCTTGAAAGCGCGGATACATGTGTGTCGGGTGGTGTAGGGTTGAGGCAGTCTCTTTATTATCCACACTGATTAGCTGCGCACTGGGTACTCACGAGTCGAGTAGTAGAATTTTTACTCACCCAGCTGAGTTACTCACTCGTGTCCCGAGTAACGTCCTCCACAAGCGAGTGTCGCATACAAGTGAGTGTCGCACGCGACGAACACAACGCGCTCCTTATGTGTACTGCAAGATGCCTCAACAAGTTGATATTCCATCAACTAATCTTGAAGGTAGAATATATATTGCTATCGAAGCTATTAGATTACGCCAATTTAATAGCATTAGGGCAGCTGCAAAGGCCTCAAATGTCTGTCCTAAGCTACTTGAGAGGCGCCTAAAGGGAATACGCCCACGACGCGACATTACACCAAAAACTCAAAAACTCAAAAACTCACTTGCTTGGAAGAATCAGTTGTTATTCAACATATCCTCGACCTAGATTCACGGGGGTTTTCGCCTAGGCTTCATGCTGTTGAAGATATGGCCAATCAATTACTCCATCTCGAGGTGTGGGCAAGGTTGGAGTTAATTGGGCTTCCAACTTTGTTAAACGCCATGTTGAGCTTAAAACAAAGTTTAATCGCAAATACGACTATAAGAGAGCTCTATGTGAAGATACAGAGCTCATAAAAGCATGGTTTACACTTGTACAAAACACTACTGCAAAGTATGGAATTACCAATGCAGACATCTACAACTTTGATGAGACGGGTTTTCAAATGGGCATTATTACAACAGCAATGGTTGTTACAAACTCTGAACGGCAGAATCGACCTAAAGCAATTCAACCTGGAAACAGAGAGTGGGCAACAGTAATTCAAGGGATTAACGCGCAAGGATGGTCAATCCCACTGTTCATTATTATGAGTGGGAAGAACCATCTCTCAACATGGTATGATGAAGATATACCACAAGATTGGATTCTCGCAGTAAGTGAGAATGGATGGACGACAAATGAACTTGGATTTCAATGGATCCAACATTTTCATAAGCATACAAAGCATCGTACAGTTGGTGCACATCGCCTGTTAATTCTAGATGGCCATGAGAGTCACTATTCTCTACCGTTTGAGCAATACTGTAAGGAGAATGGTATAATATTGCTTTATATGCCTCCGCACTCATCTCATCTACTTCAACCGCTTGATGTTAGTTGCTTTGGACCACTTAAGAAGGCATATGGACGGCAAGTTGAGAGCTTAATCCGCACTCATATAAACCATGTTACGAAAGTTGAGTTTCTTCCTGCCTTTAAGCAGGCTTTGACGCAATCACAAAGCAGAACATCTGCAGTAGTTTTCGAGCTACAGGGCTAGTTCCATTCTGTCCTGATGTTGTGTTGTCACAGCTTGACATTCAACTACGGCCTTTAACACCACCAACCTTTGAGGATGCTTCATGGGAACCTAAAACACCACACAATCTAATAGAGCTAGCAGTCAAACTACACATCTTAAAGATCGCATTATATGCCATCAAAATAGCTCACCAACTCCTATTAACAATGCGCTAGACCAGTTGTTAAGAGGTGCTCAAACAATGGTGCATTCTGCTGTTCTAATGAAGGCGGAAGTTCAGGCCTTACAACAAGCAAATGAAGTTGCAAGTCAGCGCAAAAAGCGAAAAAAAAGCGTATACAACAAGGAGGGTGTCTTACAATTCAAGAAGGGCAGGATGTACTTGCTCACCTAGCTGTGGGAGAGCAGATATCTCAAGAACTATGACAGGGTGGCAGGGTTGAAAGACAGCAACGACGTTGCAGAATGTGTGGTAAGACTGGGCATAATGCTCGCACATGTCAAAGGGATTACGAAGATACTATAGAATAGGTGTATAATTAATTTAATTGATTTTCTAGTCTATAGTTGTTGTTGTTAGAAAGTTTGTTACGATCTGTCAATTGCGTGCGACACTCACTTGTATGTGACACTCGCTTGTGGAGGACGTTATAATATTAGTAAGTTAATTATTAAAGAGGGTTAATAGCTTACCTTATAATTAGAAATAGGTTCTTGGAAATAGATAGAAGTTTCTGTTTCAAAGTCATCTTCTATAGTTTGAGAATATAATGATCTTTCAAAGTCATCTAATAGATTATCTTCTTCATTCTCTTGTTGCTGTTGTTGTTGTAGTTGTTG